GGGGGGACACTGGGGGGACATTGGGGGACAATGAGGGGACAGGGAGGGGACATTGGGGGGACATTTTTGGGGGATATTGAGGGGACACTGGGGGGACATTGAGGGGACAGGGAGGGGACAGAGAGGGGACATTGAGGGGATATTGAGGGGACATTTTTGCGGGATATTGAGGGGACATTGAAGGGACATTGAGGGACATTGAAGGGACATTGTGGGGACAATGAGGGGACAGGGAGGGGACATTGAGGGGACATTGAGGGGACATTTTGTGGGGACATTGAGGGGACAATGAGGGGACATTGAGGGGGACAATGAAGGGACACTGAGGGGACATTTTTGGGGGATATTGAGGGGACACTGGGGGGACAATGAAGGGACATTGTGGGACAATGAGGGGACAGGGAGGGGACATTGAGGGGACATTTTTTGGGGAATATTGAGGGGACAGGGAGGGGACATTGAGGGGACAAGGAGGGGGACATTGAGGGGACATTTTGGGCGGACATTGAGGGGACACTGGGGGGACAATGAGGGGACAGGGAGGGGACAGAGAGGGGACAATGAGGGGACATTGAGGGGACAGGCAGGGGACAGAGAGGGGGACATTGAGGGGACATTTTTGGGGGATATTGAGGGGACATTGAAGGGACATTGATGGGACATTGCGGGGACAATGAGGGGACATTGGGGGCACATTGGGGGACATTGAGGGGACGTTTTTGGGGGATATTGAGGGACAGGGAGGGGACAATGAGGGGACACAGAGGGGACAGAAAGGGGACATTGAGGGGACATTTTTGGGGAATATTGAGGGGACATTTTGTGGGACATTGAGGGGACATTTTGTGGGGACAATGAGGGGACAGGGAGGGGACATTGAGGGGACAGAGAGGGGACAATGAGGGGACATTGAGGTGGCACCGAGGGGACCCAGAAGGGGACCCAGAGGGGACAGGGCCAGCCCCGGGGCACGGTGACAATTCACAGGGAGGTGACACCGGGCCCCTCACGTCCTGTTGTCCCCTCCCGGGTCATTGTCACCCTCGGCCACCTCCTTTGATGTGCCCGGATGTCCCCGCCCCTGCCCCTGGGCGGCAGGAAGCGACAAAAAAGCGACAAAAGTGACAAAAAACGGACGAAAAAGCGACAGAAGTGACAAAAAACGGACGAAAAAGCGACAGAAGTGACAAAAAAGCGACCAAAAGTGACAAAAGGACCACCCCACCCCCCTGCGGGGAGCTGCCACCCCCTCTGGGGACAATTGTCCCCGATTGTCCCCGATTGTCCCCGATTGTCACCCCCCTGCCCCCGTTGTCACCTCACCTTGTCCCCGTGCTCGTCCACGGAGTTGCTGCCTGGGGGGAAATGGGGACATTGGGACATTGAGGACACTTTTGGGGACACCTTTTGGAGACACTTTTGGGGACTTTTAGGGATATATTTGGTGGCATTTTTGGGGACCCTTTTGGGATCATTTTGGGACCATTTTAGGGGACACCTTTGGGGACTTTTGGGGACACTGGTGACCCTTTAGGGCACACCTGAGGACATTTGGGGACATTGGTGACATCTGGGGACACTGGTGGCACCTGGGGACATTTGGGGGATTTTTGGGACACTAGTGACACTTTTGGTGACACCTGGGACCCTTTCGGGATACCTGGGGACGTTGGGGACCCTTTTGGTGAAATTTGGGGACATTTTGGGGACACTTGGGGACCCTTTTGGGGACCCTTTGGTGGACATTGGTGACCCTTTTGGGGACATTTGGGGACCCTTTTGGGACCCTTTTGGGACATGTTGGGGGACATTGGTGACCCTTTTAGGGACATTTTTGAGGACACTGGTGGTACCTGGGGACGTTGGGGACCCTTTAGGTGACACCTGGGGACATTTTGGGGACCTTTTGGTGACACCTGGGGACATTTTGGGGACCTTTTGGTGACCCCCGTGTCACTCACCGAACACGTAGAGCACGGCCGCGCCTCCGGTGGCCGCCAGGAGCCCCCCCAGGCGCAGAGCCAGGAGCCGCAGGGACCCCTGAGACCCCCGGGACTGGGATCCTCGTCCTGAGGGGGGGCGCTGGACACCTGGGGACAGGTGAGACACACACGGGTGAGAGAGGGGACACCTGGGGACAGCAGGGGCACACCCGGGCACACCTGGGCACACCTGGGCACACCCGGGCACACCTGGTGACTCTCGGGGGTCCCGCAGCCCCCCGGGCCCGCCCCGCCCGCCCCCCGCCGTGTCCGCACCTGGCGCTGCCGCAGCCGCTCCCGCAGCACCGCGGCCGTGTCGGAGCCCGCGGCGGGGCCGCCCAGGGCGCGGCGGGGCCCGGCGGGCGGCGCGGGGGTCCCGGGGGTCCCGGGGGTCGCGGCCCGGGCCCGCCGGAGCCCCCAGGCCACCGCTCGGGCCGCCATGGACGCCGCCATGTTGCTGTACGGCAACGCGCCGGCGCGGCAGCGGCGGCCAATGGGAGCCGGGGAGTGGGCAACGGGAGAGCCAATCAGAGGCGAGAGGTGAGGGAGACGGGCGGGGCGGGGAGGGGTTTGGCCAATGGCGGCGCGGCCGGCGGCCAATGCGGGTGTGGGGGAGGCGGGGCCAGAGGCGCGGCAGCCAATCAGAGCGCGCGCTGGCGGAAGGGGCGCGAAGGCGGGAAGGCGCGGAGGCGGGGGCCGGGGCAATGGCGGCGTCAGGACCCAGAGAGCGGCCCCGAAATCCCCAAACCGGCCCCAAAATGGACCCCAAAATCCCCAAACTGGCCCCAAAACGGGCTCTGAAACCAGCCCCACATCCCCTGAAACCGACCCGAAAAAGGGCCTTGAAACAGGCCCCAAACCCCCAAAAACTGGCCCGAAAATGGGCCTGGAAACCAGCCTGAAATCCCTCAAATGGGCCTGGAAATCAGCCCAAATTTCCCCCAAAACCTCCCCCAAAACTTGTCCAAAAGCAGCCCCAAATCCCGCCAAACTGGCCCCAAGACTTGCCCCAAATCCCCCGAAACTGACCCCAAAACTCCAAGTGCTGCGCCCCCAATTCTTTATTCAACACCAAAAACCAGAAACAGCAACGAGGGGAGAGCAGAAACGGGGCAGAAAAAGGGGCAATAAAGGAGCGAAAAATGAGCGAAAAGGGGCAGAAAAAGGGCCAAAAACCGGGGGAAAAAAAGGAGTGAAAAAAAGGGCAAAAAATGGGGGAAAAAGCGCAGAAAATGGGCAAGAAGGGGCAAAAAAAGGGGGGAAAAAAAGGCTGAAAAAAGCGGTAAAAAGGGGCTAAATGGGTCTGGGGTCCTGAGGGCGCTCAGGCCTCGAGCAGCTTGCCCAGGAAGCGCAGGTTGAGGATCTTGAGCTGCTCCTCCAGGTCCATGCGCACGATGCCGTCCTCGCCGTCGATGCTCAGCAGGATCCCGGTGGCCTCGCGGTCCTCGCCCAGGATCACCTTCACCTGAGGGGCAAAAAGGGATTTGGGGGCTCAGGAGGGTCCCAGAGGGGTTAGGGGGGCTCCTAGAGGGGATTTGGGGGGCTCAGAAGGGAATTTAGGGGGGATTTGGGGGGCTCAGAAGGGAATTTCGAGGGGATTTGGGGGTCCCCAGGTGTGTGTGGGGTCCCACCTTGTTGCTCTTGGTGGGGCGTGACGGGCTCCAGGTGCTCGCTGGACACGCTGACCACCTTCTCGCTGTCCTTCAGGTACACCGAGCACATCCCGCCCTGCAACGGGGACGGGGTCAGCCTTGGGGACCCCCGAAAATACCCCCAAAAACCCCCGAAAAAACCCCCAAAATCGCCCAGAAAACCCCCCAAAATTCCCCCAAAAAACTCCCCAAAGTCCCTCCAGAAATCCCCCCAAAATCCCCCCAGAGAACCCCACAAAATCCCCCCCAAAAAAACCCCAAAAGCGCCCCAGAAAACCCCCCAAAATCTCCCCCCAAAAACCTCCCAATCCCCTCTGTGACCCCTCAAAATCCCCCCCAAAAAACCCCCCAAAATCCCCTCTGTGACCCCCGAAATCCCCCAAAAAAACCCCAAAAATCCCTCCAAAAAAACCCCCAAAATCCCCCCAGAAAACCCCCCAAAATCCCCCCCCCAAAAAACCCTAAATCCCCCTAAAAAAAACCCCCAAAATCCCCTCTGTTGACCTGCCAAAATCCCCCAAAAATCCCCCCCAAAAAAAACCCCAAAATCGCACCAGAAAACCCCCCAACATCCCCCCAAAAAAAACCCAAAATCCCCTCTGTGACCTCCCAAAACCCCCCCAGAAAAACCCCCCAAAAAAACCCCCAAAATCCCCCCAAAAAACTTCTGAAGATCCCCCAGAAAACCCCCCAAAATCCCCTCTGTGACCCCCCCCAAAATCCCCCCAGAAAACCCCCCCAAAATGCCCCCAAAAAAACTCCCCAAAATCCCCTCAAAAAACTCCCAAAATCCCTCCAGAAATCCCCCCAAAATCCCCCCCAAAAATCCCCCAAATCCCACCAGAAAACCCCCAAAAAAACCCGCAAAATTCCCCCAGAAAATCCTCCAAAAATCCCCCCAAAATCCCTCCAAAAAAACCCCCAAAATCCCTCCAAAAAAATCCCCAAAATCCCCTCCCCAGGTACCTGGCGCTGTCCAGGTACAAGTCCCTGACTTCACCTGGATCTCCATGGCGATCCAGCCCGTTCAGACCCCCCCAAATCCCCCTGTGACCCCCAAATCCCCCAAACCCCCCTGTGACCCCCCAAATCCCTCTGTGACCCCCCAAATCCCCTCTGTGACCCCCCAAATCCCCCCCAAACCCCCTCCCCACGTACCTGGTGCTGTCCCAGGTACGAGTCCCTGACCTTCACCTGGATCTCCGTGGTGATCCAGCCCCTCCAGACCCCCCCAAATCCTCTCTGTGACCCCCAAATCCCCTCTGTGACCCCCAAATCCCCTTTGTGACCCCCCCCAAATCCCCCCTGTGACCCCCCCAAATCCCCCCCAGACCCCTCCCCAGGTACCTGGCGCTGTCCAGGTACGAGTCCCTGACCTTCACCTGGATCTCCATGGCGATCCAGCCCCCCCAGACCCCTTTAATCCCCCTGTGAACCCCAAACCCCCCCAAAGCCCCCCTGTGACCCCCCCAGACCCCTGCCCACATACCTGGTGCTGTCTCAGGTACAAGTCTCTGACCTTCACCTGGATCTCTGTGGTCACCCAGACCCCCTTTAATCCCCTCTGTGACCCCCAAATCCCCTCTGTGACCCCCCAAATCCCCTCTGTGACCCCCAAATCCCCCCTGTGACCCCCAAATCCCCCCAAATCCCCCCCCAAATCCCCCCGTGACCCCTGCCCAGGTACCGTGACGCTGCGGATGACGCCGGTCTGGCCCACGGCGGCGCTGTCCAGGTACGAGTCCCTGACCTTCACCTGGATGTCGTGGTCACCCAGTCCCCGCCCGCCGCCCGCCTCGATGCCCGAGCCGGGCGTGTGGGGTTGTACCCGCCCGGGGAGGGGGCGCCGGGGGTCATGGGGCTGTACCCACGGGGCTGGGGCTGGGGCTGGCCTGGGGGGCAACGGGACAGGGTTATTGGGGGGTTTGGGGGGGTTTCAATGGGGTTTGGGGGGGTTAAAGGGGGTTTGGGGGGTTTCAGTGGGGTTTGGGGGGGGGTCATGGGGCTGTAACCCACGGGGCTGGGGCTGGGGCTGGCCTGGGGGGGCAACGGGGAGAGGGTTAGGGGGGATTAAAGGGGGTTTGGGGGGGTTTCAATGGGGTTTGGGGGGAATTAGAGGGGGTTTGGGGGGGTTTCAATGGGGTTTGGGGGGTTACAATGGGGGTCTGGGGGGTTTCAATGGGATTTGGGGGGTCATGTGTAGCCCACGGGGCTGGGGCTGGGGCTGGCCTGGGGGGCAATGGGGACAGGGTTATTGGGGGGTTACAATGGGGTTTGGGGGAGTATTGGGGGGATAAAAGGGGATTTAGGGGGTTTCAATGGGGTTTGGGGGAATTAGAGGGGGTTTGGGGGGGTTTCAGTGGGGTTTTGGGGGGTTACAATGGGGTTTTGGGGGTTATATGGGGGTCTGGGGGGGTCATGGGGCTGTAGCCCACGGGGCTGGGGCTGGGGCTGGCCTGGGGGGCAATGGGAGAGGGTTATTGGGGGGGTTATATGGGGGTTTGGGGGGTTACAATGGGGTTTGGGGGGGTTTCAATGGGGTTTGGGGGGGTTTCAATGGGGTTTGGGGGGGTTTCAATGGGGTTTGGGGGGGTTTCAATGGGGTCTGGGGGGTTTCAATGGGGTTTGAGGGGGTTTCAATGGGGTCTAGGGGGGTTACAATGGAGTTTGGGGGGGCTATATGGGGGTTTGGGGGGTTAAAGGGGGTCTGGGGGGGTTTCGATGGGGTTTGGGGGGTTTCAATGGGGGTTTGGGGCAGTATTGGGGGTTTGGGGGATGTTGGGGGGAGTTTGGGGGAGCTATAACAGAATTTGGGGGGATTAGAGGGGGTTTGGGGGATTTTGGGGGATATTAGGGGGATTTGGGGGGCTATTGGGGGGTTTGGGTGGGGTTTGGGTGGGGTTTTTTGGGGTTTGGGTGGGGTTTGGGTGGGATTTTTGGGTTTTTTGGGGCGGGGTTTTTCGGGCGGGGTTTTTTCGGGGTCGGGGTCATTTTGGGGTGAATTCGGGGGTTTTGGGTACCTGGTAGGCCATAGGTGAGGGCGTGGGGGTGGTAGCTCGCAGGTGAGTGGGGTTTGGGTGGGTTTTTTGGGGATTTTTGGGGTTTTTTGGGGCGGGGTTTTTCGGGGCGGGGTTTTTCGGGGTTGGGGTCATTTTGGGGTGAATTTCGGGGGTTTTGGGTACCTGGTAGGCCATAGGTGAGGGCGTGGGGTGGTAGCTCGCAGGTGAGTGCGTGTTCTGGGCAGGTTTATGGGGTTTGGGTGGGGTTTTTTGGGGTTTTTTGGGTTGGGGTTTTTTGGGGCGGGGTTTTTCGGGGTCAGGGTCATTTTGGGGTGAATTTTGGGTATTTTGGGTACCTGGTAGGCCATAGGTGAGGGCGTGGGGTGGTAGCTCGCAGGTGAGTGGGGTTTGGGTGGGGTTTTTTGGGGTTTTTCGGGGCGGGGTTTTTCGGGGCGGGGTTTTTCGGGGTCAGGATAATTTTGGGGTGAATTCAGTGTATTTTGGGTACCTGGTAGGCCATAGGTGAGGGCGTGGGTGGTAGCTCGCAGGTGAGTGGGGTTTGGGTGGGGTTTGGGTGGGGTTTGGGGCAGGTTTATGGGGTTTGGGTCGGGGTTTTTCGGGGCGGGGTTTTTCGGGGCGGGGTTTTTTCGGGGGTCGGGGTCATTTTGGGGTGAATTTGGGGTGTTTTGGGTACCTGGTAGGCCATAGGTGAGGGCGTGGGGTGGTAGCTCGCAGGTGAGTGGGGTTTGGGTGGGGATTTTTGGGGATTTTTGGGGTTTTTCGGGGCGGGGTTTTTCGGGGC